CTTGAATGTCTCACATGAAGGCATGAAACACATGAATAAAAAAAATAAAAATTAAACCAACACCACATTTGCATCAGCGAAAAACTCGGTTTAACTCACTCAGGTGATCAGAAATGATAAACTGCATTTTTTGACCTAACAAACAGAGATGTTCAATGGAGGACGATAAGAGCGGCAGCGGGAACTTAATAACAGCAAGGATACATTATTGACAAACCAACCATGGTTATTATAAAGAACTAACTTGACTTAACCTTATCCATAACGAAATAAACAGCTAGACCACAAGTAGAACAAATAATATTTGAACGAAACTATAATTCGCAGGAGAGTTTACCTCTTCTGGAGTAGCAAACCGGGACGGCGATGAGTTTGGGCGAGCTATTCCAACACCAATCGACAACGAATTCCGATGGAGACTCGAATTCCGAGAAATAAAACCCCAAAACTTCAGTTATATGGATGCTATCACTCTAAATTCCACTCCTCTTTTACCTATCAGTTCTCTCTATATTTTAGCTTTTCTTGTGTGTTTTTATCACTGTTTCCCCAACCTTTTCTAACATAAAATCTGCTATCCCCCAAACCTTTTCCGGGGCCTTAGAAGGAAGTGGGTGATCCCTTTAAATAGAACAAGATCGGGGCTGATTTAAGGGGGGGGGGGGAAACGGGAGGGATTTTTTCATTTGAAATTCAAATTTTGACAGGATCACACTGTACGAATTCCTCCATATTCTTCAGCAATCACAACGGGTAAACAGGGGGAGCCACTCGATCTCGAGGCAAGGACAGATGCGGCTTGAGATCGCAACACCCGGAGGATGAAGGACAATTCGCGGGCTGCTGGCTATATGAATTGTCGAAGGATGAGAGGAAAACGATGAGAAAGTGCAGTGTACTGTTGTACGTGTAGCTGTCAGCGTGTACACACCGTCTATCATCGTGAACTCTCCATGAGATCTTCCTATTGAACCTTAGAGCGTCGTTCATGCGCTGAAGAAGAAAACAGAAGCGTACTGCTGTACGTATGTTGCTGCTGGAATGGGTTATTGGATTGAAGGAATTGGGTTGGGTTTCTATACGTATTGTAATAGGCTGCTGTTGTATTGTATTAGTGTAATGTATTTGTATATTAGTGGGCTGGTAATTTATGGTGTGGAGTAATAGAAATGGGTTGACAATTGCTAATGAATGGGTTTGGGCCAGGTCTGGTGGTTGCTGGAAATAATGCAATAAGAATTGGGTTCGAAAAGACAACCAAGAATGTGGTCGATTTGAATTAAGAAAATAACCACGTAAAATTGTAATTTCAATCAAATTGACGCACTTGGTTGAATTTGGCCAAAATTAAAATAAGACGAATTAATGTAAATTAATTAACGAGCTTCTTAATCTTAACAAAGTAAAATAATTAACTTAATTATAAATTGATTAATTTAAATTATAATTCATTGGATAATAAACTAATTAACCAAATATTTAACTAAAACAAAATCTTTTTTTTTTAGACGATTTTCAAATATTTATAAAATATACTAATTGTATGCGTAATTATGTAAAACATATATATTATCTAAAAATTATTTAAAAAGTGACAAAACTATTTAAAACAACTTGCAAACTATATTTATTTATTTTTCAAAATTTTATAAAAACTAACTATTTTAAATCGTTTGAAATTGAAGAAGCTCGAAATGATTAATTTATATTGTGGGGTCCAAAATTGGGTGTCAACAGTCAGGGGCTACAGTCAGGGGCTGAGCAACACCCCCAGGCCTTATCATATACAAGGAGGGGGGCAATTACCGTACCTCCAAACCTAAGGTGGATCCTAAGTCGACCTACCTACTAAGGTTAGTCGACTCAACCCAATACAATATGATATATTATTTAAACTAAGCACCTAGAGAGGACTCCTCTCTTAATACAAAGTTACTAATAATACATAAACAAGGGAGACTCTCCCCTTACATGAACTTGAAACTAAGCCTACTCAAACTACTGTAGCTAAAAGACATAGTAAATGTGAGGATAATGTAGCTCAAGAAAATGGAGACAGAGGACCAATCTTTATGAAGTCTATTTGGCCTACTGTTGTCGAGCAACTTGACAGGAAACTAACGTATATCATTTGTCATTTATGTACTGAGTTCCCGTCATGGTTGATAGATAGTCAAGGTGGTTGTTTAATCCATTTCGACTTCTTCCTTCTGAAATTTTGTACCCCCATTTTTCTCCAAGAGATAACTTCCTTTTATTGCATGGGGCAATTGAGGATGAGTGTAATAATGTTGCACAATATCGTGTTTGTGACTGTGTTTGGCCAAGAGGTCTGCTGTACCATTAGCTTCCCTGTACGTATGAAGACACTGAAAAAAAAACACATTGTTTAGCAAGAAGCTGTAAATCCTGTATCTACACCTGAATCTTCCAATGAGGCACAACAACTTGTAATAGCCATTTAGTGAGTAATTCAGAATCAACTTCTAATATAATATTATTGTAACCATGTTGTATACACCAATTTAAACCATAACAGGCTGCTTGAACCTCTGCTTGATTATTTGTTCCTTCACCAAGAGGTATAGCGAAAGCAAAGATTATGATCCCTTGTTCATCTCTTAGAATGCCTCCCCTCCAATTTTCCCCGGATTGTGTAAAGCACTACCATCCATATTCAACTTATATCTATTAGGAGGAGGAGTCTTCCACATAACTAGTGTAACTCTTGTCTCTTGATTACATCTTTCAATGCTTTCCACTACTTCTGACCAGTTCGCAGGCAACTGAAGGTAAGGAAAAACAAAATAAAGAAGTAAAAACATATCTTTGAAAATCAAATATTTAACTTTGAAAATACTAGATGTTTTTCCTCCATACTTGGCTGAGCATCTATTTTTCCATAGATTCCAGCATATTACTCTAGGGAGAGTTCTAAGAATTATAGCATGTGCAACATTCTTCCCTGTAATACCATTCCAGCACAATAGCTGGTTGATCAGTGAAGTTTTCTGAAAAATTGATCCCTATGCTACCCGCAAAAAACTTCCAGATATGTACTGCAAAATGTCCCTGAATGAAGATATGATCCACGTCATCCCATCCCTTTCGAATACAACAGAAACATTTCACAGGTTCCACTCCAAAGATTGCTAATATTTCATTAGTTGGCAATTTATATCGTATTGCTCTCCATAAAAGAAAGGACATTTTGAAAGGTATATGTTTATGCCAAATTTGAGAATAATTGACTGTAATGGCCTTCTTAGTTCTGCAAATTTCCCAGGCTGATGTACAAGTGAAAGTACCAGCCTCCGTCTGTTTCCAAATAGCACTGTCTTTAACCCCCTGCACAAACTGAAATTTAGTGTTTAAAATAGAGGGAATAAGGAGAGGTGGAACCTGTTGCCTCAATTTTCTTTCATTCCATTTACCATCTACCGGAAAGTGTGCAATAGTAGCATTATTGAGACTTGATATAGAAGTAGTATAATTAGCTAATGCACCCACTCCGAGCCAATCATCCCACCAAAAGGAGCAGCTTCTAGAGTTGATTCTCCAACCAATATACTCTTCCACCTTGATCTTGTTTTTCACCATGTATTTCCACATCAAAGACTGTCTAGTATGCACCTTTTTTGCAACTGGATGAGCTCTTTGACAGTATTTAGCTTTAAGAAAGTGGCTCCATAAAGATGCTTTAGACCTGAAGCTCCACCATTGTTTGTACTATAAAGAGGTGCATATATCTGGTAATCTTCTGATTCCTAGCCCTCCTTCAGCACATGGTAAACACATGGTACCTAGAGAAGCCCAATGATATTTCTTTTTATCCAGATCCTTTCCCCAGAAAAAATCTGCAATAATGGCCTCAATGTATTTAATAGTAGTGCTGGGGGGAGAGATAGCAGCCATAGTATGGATAGGTATAGATTGCAAGGCATGTTTGATCAATGTAAGCCTGCCTCCAAAACTAAGTATCCTTGTCTGCCAACCACAAACCTTTTTGGAGATCTTCTTAACTAGATAAGAGTAATAAATGATCCTTTGTCTACCAATATAGAGGGGACAACCTAAATAAGTAATAGGATTGTTTTTCTGGGAGAAACTAGTTACTGCTTGAATGGTATTGATAATGTCTTGTGAGGTATTGGATGGAATCATAAAATGACTTTTTTCTTTGTTAATAAGCTGGCCAGAAGTATGTTCATAATCCCCTAACATGTCCATGATGAGCTTCAATGAATGTCTGTAAGTGGAAGCAAAAATAATAACATCATCTGCAAAACTTAAATGATTGATTTGAGGTCCTTTAGGTTTCATATAAAAACCTTTATAACTTGGAATCTGATGTAGAGAATTAAGCAATCTTGACAGTACCTCTGCTCTTAAAATAAATAGGGTAGGGGATAAAGGGTCACCTTGCCTAAGTCCTCTAGTAGAGTGAAAGAAGCCATCTCTGTGCCCATTAATGATAATAGAATACCAATTGTTACTCATTATCCTCCAAACTAAATCAATAAATACTTACCCAAAACCAAACCTCCTTAGTACCAAACATGTGAATGACCAAGACACTCTATCATATGCCTTGGTCATAACAAGTTTGATAACAACATTAGTACCTATAAGAGGTTTTTTAACATCAAGAGTAAACTCCTGTGCAAGCATGATACTAAATGTAATGCTTCTACCTCAAACAAAACCTAACTGATTATCTGAAAGTAATAGGGGTAAAATAGTAGCTAATCTAATACTCAATAATTAGGAAATTATCTTATTAGTAAAATTACTAAGATTGATAGGTCGAAGATCTCTGAATCTGGTAAGTTGTTCTGTTTTGGGAAGCAAAACCAAACATGAATGAGTCATGAACTTAGGCATAATTTTACCACAAAAGAAATATTGAACAGCTGCCAGCAAATCTTCTTTAATGCTACTCCAACAAGACTGATAAAATTTTCCCCCTATACAATCCGGACCTTCTACTGAACTAGGATTCATAGCAAAAAAAATTGTCTGAGTTCCTCTAAAGTAGGCATGGCTTGCAGCATCTCATTTTGTACAGGAGTGACTAAGGTAGGAATATGCTGGAGAATTCTGTCATCTATTCTATCGTTCTGACCAGTGAATATTTGTTGATAATAATCACAAGCTGCTTGAGCTATTTGCTCATCACCTTGTACCCATACTTCATTTTCAGTACAAATCCTATGAAGAAATAGCCTCCTTCTTCTACCTCTCATCAAAGAATGGAAGTATTTAGTATTGACATCACCCTCCTTAAACCATTGTAGTTGTGTCTTTTGTTTAAGAATAGATTCCTCCATTTTCAAATACCTAATATAAGTTGCATTCATTTGATGAAGTGTCTGTCTAAGAGCTTCAGTGTTATTAGTCATAAGTTCTTCCTCAGATTGCCTGATATTCTCTTCAAACTCCCTTACCGTAGTAAAGATATCTCCATACTCGCTTTTAGACCAATTACTAAGTGTAGATGATACTCTTTTCATTTTCTGATGTAATCTCCACATATGATTGCCAGTAACTCTCTTTTCCCAACACTGTTGTACTGTCTTCATAAAGGTGACATTTTCAACCCAAAAATGTAAGAACTTGAAATATTTAATATGACTCTCATTGGTGTTAATCATTTCCATCAACATAGGACTATGATCAGAACCAACAGAGGATAAATTTTCCATAGTGGTTTGAGGCATAACCTCTAACCATTTATCATTAACCATAGATCTATTTAATCTCTTCCAAACTCTAGCTTCTGCATCCCTTTGATTACACCATGTGAATGGAAGTCCTGTGTATCCAAGATCAGTCAATCCACATGCCTCTATCACTCCAATAAATTCAAAGCTCCTATTTATATTGTCAGATAATCCTCCCATCTTCTCCTCTATAGAGGTGATGACATTGAAATCCCCAATTGTACACCATGGTAGTTCCATATTAGCATAAAACAACAATCTGTCCCACAGAGGTCTCTTCAGATAGTCCTTACATTTAGCATAGATAAAGGACATCATGAATTTATCCGGAATATTTGTATACTTAGATGTTACTGCAATGTGTTGATCATGTTGTTCAAAAATATGACCATTGACTTCATTAGACCAAAACAACCAAATTTTCCCATTAGGATTACTGGCTGCCTGATCCATTTGGAGATGAATTCTCACCTTATCAATCTGAGAATTATCTGCAAAGGGTTCAAGGATAGCAATAATAGATAAATGATGGAGTTTTTTGAGAGTTTGTAGCCTTTCCAATGATCCTTTGGTGTTGATACTCCTAGCATTCCAACAAATGGCCTTAATCATTAGTAACCATTTGATTTAGACCTAGTCATAGGCCTGCTTGAAGTATCAGACATGCTGGTGAGAGGTTGATGAGGCTTGTTGTCTAGTCTGTTTCCTCCCCTTGGGGATAAACCCTGTTGTTCTGTCATTCTTTGAACATCATAACAGTTGTCCTGAAAGGTAGAACCTAGAACTTGACCTGTATGCTCCATGGTGTCCTCAATATCCTCATCAGAATCTTCTATAGACTGATTATCAGAATCCAACTCATCCTCAGAGTTAATTGCCCCATAATCATCAGGAGTCAACTTACCCTTTTTTGCATTATTGGCAACCTTTTCATTAGCATGAGTGTCAAGTTGTTTACCTGCAGCTGTATCATCTGGATCCTGACCAGTACTCTGTTTCCATTTCTTTTTAGAGCCTCTCTTTTCTTTTTACTCAGTCTATCCCCAGATTTGTTATTGAATCTGCCGTGTTGTTGACCTGTATCAGTAACTGGTTGAGTACCAGTTTTTTGATGAGTCGTGATAGGGATATCAGGGGCTTTAGAGTCTCCACTATGGTCAAAATCCACTTCCTCATGTCTAGCATGAGTCAGTTCCCCCCCCCTCATGGACCCCCCTTCCTGCAAGTTAGTAGGTGTCTTCTATTCCCTCTCATCCATACCTCCAACAGCTTCCTCAACAACAATAACAGTTTCAAGTGGTTTAGGGACTGGGAGCATTGAGTCAATACCTGGAACAGCTTTCCCTTTAATCACTTCTTTTCCTGAAATGTTATCAATGTTTTTGGTTACATGTCTGCTCTGCTTACCTTGTGCCTGCAGTTGATTTACTGCTGGCTGAAGCCTGTTATCCTGCTTGCTGCCATTATGTATCTCCAGTTCTTCTAAAGGAGGTGGTAACTCCTGCACATCAAGGTTAATATATGTATTTTGTGTAGGAGTAGCAATTATACCTGCATGTTTGGGGGCCTGATCTGGTTGTTTGGTGTTACTCCTTGGTACCTGTTGCTGATTATTATTCCTCCTCCTTTGTGTTTACCACTGATCCTCTTGTTGCCCCTACTGTTGAGCTTGTTCTCTTTGTTGGTTATAAAGATTGGTAGAATCAGCTTTAGGACCAGAATCTTTGTAACCTTTAGACTGTTGTTGATTGTTATCCATATCTTTATTATTCTTGTTTCTCGCATTGTCTATCTCCTTTTTCCTTTTCTCTTCATCCCTTTGTCTAATGGTACAATCATTTTCCACATGCCCTTGATGCTTGCAATAGAAACAGTAATCAGGGATATTGTCATATTCAATTTTCTGCCATCTTCCATCAGTGATATCTTCCCCAATATAACCCATCCAAATATAAGAAGGTCTCTTGTGAGTGAGATCCACTTGAACCTTCACCCTAGCTTGACTACCTCTAGTCTTTTTAATAGAAGCAGAGTCTAAGTATAATACTTTACCTATAGGTGAAAGCATCCCTGTTACAAACTCTTTATTATAACAATGCCAAGGCAATTCCGGTAAAGAGATCCAAATAGGGACTATGGAAGTTCCTTCAGCAGGCTTAAAACTAGGAGTCCATACTTGAATTCTCATCACTTTGCCAGCGATAGTCATCCTTTGTTTAGTCCAAACCATATTATAATCAAGCTCGTTATCAAGATCAATATAAACATGACGAGAATTAAAATGTGCAATCTTAACTCCACCAGATAATTGAGTCTGTAAGATGAAATTATTCCTAATAAGATCCACTTTAGGCATAGTGGTGCTAAACTTCCCAATGAGAGTATACTTACAAGCAGCAGCCAAATCTTTAATGATCTCGTCTTTAACATACAGAACAGCAGGTAAACCTTGTTTAGTAGTAATTTCAGGGGCTATCAATGTAATGCTAACATCACTTTTGGCCTGATTATTTCTAAGTCAATCAGCATATGTCTGCACTACTGTGTAAGGAGCAGGCTCAGCTACTGGATCAGTTCTAGAAGAATTGGGAGGTGGAAATTGATGACGATCAATTCTAGCAATATTAGCATTAGATTTAGGTACCTATCGATCAAAATTGCTACAAATTCTAGGAAAATTAGAATGATAATCCTGTTGCTGATCAGTGCGAGTATAATCCTTACCTTGATTACTCTGACCCTGCCTTATAGCAGTAGAATGATCATGTTCTTTAGCTACCCACACTTTCGAAGGATGATTCTCAGTTCTATGTAATTCAGTATCAGAATTATATGCAGGAATCACACTTGAACGAGAATTATCAATTGGAATCGTACCTGTGTCCTTGCCCTGTTTCTTGACGAAAACATCCAAGTTAGAAGAACTAGATTGACCCAATTCTTGAACCTTTTCTTTGCCTGCCATATGTGTGTTTTGTGTTTGTGATAAACTCTGCATATCCTCCTTTTGTGGCAAATTCACCAGAACTCCTGTAGATTCACCAGAATTATCGCTGTCGGTGATTCCACCATGGAACTTGCCTGAAACTTCAGTGGGATGTCCTCCACGACCAGTGGTACAAACCCCAGTAACTAATTCCGCTCGAATCACCTCATAAACACTTCGATTTTGATGGCATTTTTGGGACGACTCGCGTACGTTTTCCGCTGTAGTCGCCTACAAATTTCTCGCATATGGGACGGTGAAATGTGATCTTTGAGTCTCTTGTTGCACCGGGATCCTTGTATCGTGAAACTGACGCAAATCCTCCTTAGAAATGTTTGTACGAGTTATGTCCAACTCCTGTTCCGCCAGAGCAGTGTGGACTTCTCTCTGCGAGGAGTTGTAGGATGAGTCTGAGGTAGATTCTTGTATGGTTGTATGCATATTCATCCCTGTAGTAGGATCCGGTGGCCTAAATCGATCATCTGTCGGCGCACTAGCCATACTACTGCCTTTGAAATCGTGAATCAATTAGCCAAGATAGCTAATTTCCTTGAAGAATTCTTGAATAATTCTTAGAGAAAGAAAAAAATTTATGAGGAGACTGGGTTGTCTTTGACTTTGACTTTAAGGAAGCCTTTGAGTTCAATTGTTAATCCTTTGAGATCCATTATCAATTTGAGCTAAGTTTTGAGGAAGTAAGTATGAGAATGAAAAGAGTCGTATTCATGAGTTTCATATTGTTATGTAGACCGTCGAGTCGAGTTGTTTCATGCCCATAATTCTGCATGAACTTCATAAGTTGAGCATCTTTCAGAAGAGTGGTATCTTCAAGTTCTAAGTCTTAAGTGTTGAGCTCCTAATCCCTTTTCAGAAGTATCTTTGAGTCCTTGAGATGAGTAGTTCATGCCCATAATTCCGCATGAACCCTTTGAGTTGAGCATTCTTGAAATGAGTAGTATCATTGAAGTTCTTGAGTTCCAAGTATTGGGTTCTATCTATGGTTATTGAAAACCTTACAACGAGTCGTTCACCACCATATTTCGGCATGAACCATACTTTAAGAAGTCTCTTACAAACTCTAACTTTATTTTAAGACTTAAGCTTTGAGTTGACTAAAGAGTAAGAGTAAAAGTTCATTTCTTCAAAGATTATACGGGAATTAAGGGAACATCGATTCCAAGAGAGATTTTAAGCTAAGTTTTGAGTAATTATCTCAAACAAAAGAGAGAAGTTTTGTTTTTTAAAAAATATGAGCTAAGTATATTTTTTGGAGTAGTATTGAGCACCGATATACGGATGTGAGTTCATAATAACTCAAGTCTCCATAAATCATGTAACCATCATGGGTAGTAAAGGATCATACTCTTTAGATGATTTCTTAAGTGTTTTTTAGCATAGACTAGTGGATCCACTTAGTTAAGGCATTCTATATGACGGCAAAGTATAAGACAGTTCTGGCAGCGTGGGCAGCGCAGTGTATCATCATTTAGGATCATAGTGGTGGTTGTCGGTGAGTGAAACTCCCACAGAGTTATATTATATTTTATTATATATATTGAGTTGTTATTGTATTCTTTAATACACTGAGTTGATTTCTACTGTTTTGAAAGCTTTTCATATATTGCATGTGTATTGTTGCTTTATATTGAATTGAGTATCTTGAGTTGAGTACCCAGAGTCGAGTATCATATCTTTGAAGGTGAGTATCTAATCCTTGAGTTGAGTATCTAATCTTTGAGTTCAGTATCTTACTCTTGAGTTGAGTTGAGTTGAGTGAGTTGAGAAGAGGTAAGCATGCTTCCTTTTTACCAGTTTTAAGATTATGTTTATGCTTTAGAATTCCCGTTACATGCTCGTACATTCCACGTACTAATCCGTTTGGTTTGCATCGTTTCATGATGCAGATATAGGTATTCAGGGTCATCAATAGGAGTTCCAGTGATACCATATAAAGTTCGAGTTAGCTATGGTGAGCCTTCTTTGCTTCCGGTGGATTTCATTTACTTTTCAATTTTGTCAGGATGTCGTGGGTCTTGTCCCGACTTCCATTTTTGACAGTTAGAGGCTTCATAGACAGACAGTAGAGTTTCAGAAGTCTGTTCATTTATTTTGTTAAATGTTTTAAAGACTTAAGTTGCCCATTTTAGGGAGAGTTGAATATATTATATTATTCAGAGTTTTCTTTTGAGTGAGTTTTGCAAAGTTGGGTTTATTGAATTTTTATTCACTTTTTAAGCTTTGTATGCTTGAGTTAGTCTTCCGCTTGTAGTCAGCTAGGATGAGGGTTCGCTTGGGGACCAACAATGGTTCTCGAGTGTCGGCTACGTCTAGGGTGTAGGCTTAGGTTGTGACAATAAAAGTCTAATACAATCAAATAATGTGGAAATTAATAATTAACTTACATATACCCACAAAACTTGGCTGTCACATGTACAAGTCTCTATTGTATTACAATAGATTTGAAAGAAATAAACAAGTCTCAAATGATGTTGTCTCTAAAGTAGAACAAAATCATAAATAGGAGTAAAAAGGTCTGATGAGATGACAATCAGCTGCCTCACAAATCTCCATAGAAAGCCTCAGACAAGAAGATAATAGAGAGTATCGTGAAGTTTTGGGTTGAAAA